TCGCGTTTGAGTGTTTTTTTTTAAGTGTTTATTTAAAATTTGTCATATTAAAATTTATTATCTTTCTGGAATAATTTCTTTGAGCACACCCGAATAAAATCTCCGTAAAATAGAGGCTATATTCAGCTGCGGAGAATTGAGTCCTTACCTCCTCTGTCTTACTGAGATAGCTTTATAAGAAATCCTCACAACAGTCACTGTTTACGAAACTGTACGTGCTATACAAATCACATTTTTGCTTAAGGCACATTCGCGAAAACAAAGGATTTATTCATACACTAGGAAGGCGTATGGCAAAGTCTCAACTCGGGAAAACCAAATGAGTTTCGCCTCTGCAAGATTTACTACGCAAAGGTTATTCATGATTCATACTGTTCCCGTTTGTGGTGAAAAATGACTGCTCTGCCTGTTAGTATCTAAATCGAAAAATAGAGTTAGACACCCGCATAAGTCATGTCCCACTGTTTTCAGCCTTAAGCAGTTAGAGTTCATTTCCTTCTCATTTGCCAGCCCCAGGAGATAAATCATAACCTTAACCCTCTTACCCTGGCCCTAAATTCAATTACCCCGAAATATAGCGCAAAACCACTTCTGTCGGATAACGTTCCTACTATCATTTCCTGTCAGAGGAGTTCACATATTATTTACAATCTAAGGGCATGTTGGCCGCAGTGCTGTAGAATAAGGTTCAATGGCAAAACGTCCAAAACACTGTGGAGACAGTAATTGGTCGATTAAACTGCTCCGATCGCAAGCTATTAAGTTATATAAAACGTGGAGAATACCGGCGCAAGAATGTGATCACGGTGAACGAGTGGCGCCAAGTGAAAGTAACAGATACCCTGTTTGCTCCATTTAATGATCTGCCAAACAGTCACAAACCAAATGTTCCACTACGCCCAAACGTTTCCCTTAAAGGCAACCTTTCATATAGGCTGGAAAGGTGGACATACACAAAGCAGACATTCCTCCAAGGCAACTCGACAACTTCCGCTTCATAGGTCTCTCGATTCCTCGAATACCTTCGAGGTCGAAAGATTTAACCAGAGGAAAGTATGGTCTCCTTCAGTCTGACTTCCTTATTAACATACATAACCCCAAATCTGGCGCACGAAGTCTTGCGCAAGATGTCTGAGGAGACATATGACGATTCTTGAAATCCACTCAAAATTGAAAACATTATAAGGTTATTTGACGTTTGCCAGAAAATGTACTTT